CGTCCCGTTCAGTATCAGGTTCGACCAGCCCGCGGCCGCTCACATGATCCAATGGATGATCGCCTCCGTGTGCTGGGCCATGAACGGCCAGGTCAACTCCGCGGGCTACTCGCCGTCGCAGTGGGTGCTCGGGCGAGGTCTTCGCCTCCCGTACGTCTTGCTGGACAACGCCAGCAGGCTGCCCCTGCACGAGCGCGCCGTGTCCGACAAGCCGCTCTCGGAGAGGATTGTTATCATGGAGGCCGCGCAGACCTCCATGCAGCACCCGAGGTTCAACCAGTCCCTCTCGAGGGCGCTGCTGGCCCGATCTCGGGCAGATGGAGCTCAGCACGCCAGCGGCGTCTACCATCTACCAGACGGGCGACCAGGTGTACTACCGGAGGGGCAACGGCAAGCCCAAGAGAGAATGGGCCTTGCAGTGGCGCGGGCCCGCCGTCATCATCGGGTTCGAAGGCGCCTCGAACGTCTGGGTCAGCCACCGCTCCACGACCGCGAAGGTCAATCGTGGGCACCTACGCCGCGCCGCGGCCACGGAACTCGTTCCGCGGGGGCAAGTGCTGAACGCGCCGAACGGCAACCAACCGCCTGGACCTCCGCCGGGCGCCCCGCCAGGGACCTCCGGGCCCGCGCCTGCCCCGGGCCTTGGAGGGGGCGGCGGTGGCGCAGGTGGCGGACCCCCGCCGCCTAGTGCAGATGGAGGAAGAGGCCCTGCTGGACCTGCACCACCAGGCGCTGACGACGATATGTTCCTCGACCTGTCAGGGCCGACACCGCAGGAGCGCCCCCGCAGTGACAGTCAGCCCCCCGCACCGCCAGCGCTACCAGCACCCGTTCAGCAGCCAGCCATCCTGCAACACAACTTCGGCAACGTCGAGCATTCCAAAGCGAATCAGCGTGCTCGCAAGCACGCCGGGTGGCTGGCACGCCGCCAAGGAGACTGTGATTTCACGGCCAGTGGAGGAGCGGGCGGCAGTGGAGGACCGGCCCCGCTGACTTCGGGAGGAGCCGCGCAGCGGCCTCCGCCGCTGCCGCGGCCAACGGAGCCGCCGCCGCCGCCAGCAGCCGCCGACCCGCCGTCAGTCTCAGGCGATGCTGCCGCTCCTGCAGCCGCCCCCGCCGCTGCTGCCGCAGATTTTCAGCCTCCTGAACGCGCCCCTCAAGGCCCGGTCGGCGACGACATCGAGTCCGAAGGTTCGGACATATTTCGAGAGTGGGCCAAGATTGCGGAGGAGAAGGCGCGCCAGGAGACGATGGCGAGGCGCCCGCCGGCCACCGAGAACCAGCGCGGCGCCAATGCGCAGCGCCAAGTTCGACAGGGGGATGCACCAGTGGCACTGCAACGTGACCGCCAGCACGCGCTCGACCTCCGCGACCACTACTTTTAGAAGTGCGCGGACGAGCACTACGCATGCACGCGACTCCGCGAGGCACTGCTCACGGGCAACGCGACCGCCAAGGAACTCAAGTACAACGCGCTGAGCGCCACTGAGAAGAAGAACATGGACGCCGCCATGAGGACCGAGTGGTCCAAGTGGACGGAGTTCGGCGCCTACGAGAAGCTCCCACTCAAGGAGCTGAAGGAGCTCCTGCGGCGCAACCCCGGCATTCGCCCTGCGGGCGCGCGCCGGGTGCTGACCAGCAAGGGCCAGAACGTCATGAAGGCCCGTCTCGTCGCGCAGGGCTGCCAGGAGGACAAGTCGCAGATCAGGGCGGACGCGCCAGCGGGGTCCAGGGGCGCGCTGTACCTGACCCTGGCCGCTGCGGCCCAGAAGGACTGGGGCATCTCGTGCTACGACGCGACGACGGCCTACCTGCAGTCGGGCAACATCGAGAGGCTACCGCTCCTGCACATGCTGGCCAAGAACCCGCCGCCGGGGACCCAGCCTGGCGAGATCGCGATGGCCGCGGGCGCGATCTACGGGGCGCGCGCCGCCCGGAGGCAGTGGTACCTCTACGCGCAGAAGGTCTTCGCCGAGCACAGACTCGTGAGGAGCAAGCTCGAGAAGGGCCTCTACTACTTCTACGACGAAGGTGGGCTCGCCGCGGCGGTCCACTCACACGCGGGCGACTTCCTGATCGCCCAGCGCAAGAACTCCACCAAGCGGAAGACCACTATCGCATCGCTGGGGAAGAAGCTGCACCTCAAGCCAGTCGAAGGGGTCATCAAGTACTGCGGACGTACGATTACCAAGCTCGATGACGAGTTCCACGCGACCCAGGCCACCGCCGCCGCGCAGGTGGACTACGTCGACCTGAAGGCCCAGAAGGGCCGAGGTGCCGAGGGCCGGCTCACCGCCACCGAGGTGACGAGCTACCGCCACACGCTCGGGCAGCTGCTGTGGCTAGCGGTGCAGACTCGGGTGGACATCGCCTGCCCGGTGAACTTTGCGGCTCGCCGCGCCAACGTCGCTACCGTGGCCGACGCGAAGACGCTCAAGAAGACCGTCGCCTATGTGACCCCACCGCGAACTTCGCGATCGTGCTCAAGCGCAAGCTCGTCGACCTGAAGACAGCCATCACCACGTGCTTCAGCGACGCCGCGTTCGCCAACGTGGACGGCGTCAAGAGCCAGTGGGGCATGGTGATGGGGCTCACCCATCGCCCGCGTGACGTCGTCGGCGGCCGTTACGACCTGTGTCTGCCCGTCGCCTGGCACTCCGGCACAATCAAGAGGTCGGTGAAGTCGACCCTCGCTGCCGAGGGCTACGCCACCCTCGAGGGATCGGTGACCAACATCTGGTTCCAACAGCTGCTGACCGAGGCTTACAACCCCAAGACGGCGCTCAAGCATATCGACGTGCTCGCCGACAAGCGCCCTGGGGACATCTACAGCGACAGCAAGGGTCTCGTGACGCACATCGCTTCAGATGTGGGCCAGTCGACTGACAAGCGGTTCCGCATCGTCGCCTCCATGATCAAGGAGGCCGTGCACCCCAACAGTGCGCTCAAGCTCAGGTGGATCCCGGCCTGGGCCATGGTCGCGGACGCCTTGACGAAGACGATGGAGGTGGGCGTCCTGCTGTCGTTCGTCGGGGCCCGCAAGCACACCTACGGGACCCGGCAGCCGCGCGCCGCCATGTTCGCCTCAGTCTTGTTCACCTGCCTCGGCAAGGTCAAAAGACAGCCTACGCCTACGCCGACTATGCCGGACTACAGCTTCTACATCTGCCTGCTGACGTTCACGCTGGTCCTCGGCATGACTATCGGTTTCGGTATCTTCATGACGCTCTGGACGATCATGAGGCAGAACAACGCGATCGCCACCGAGGAGAGCGTCGCCGAGGCGAAGGCTATGGGCGAGCACCCTGGCTGGGACGGCCACATGCTTGGCTGGCGCCGCAACATACCACCTACCATTCCAGAGGACCGTGATCACGACGGTGACATCACGATGTCTCACGCGGACGTTTTCAGCACTGCGCAGGCATCGAGTTCAGTAGCATCGGCTGCGATTCAACAGCCGCCGCCGCCACTGTTGCCGACAGAACCACCGCCTGCCAGCGCACCGCCACCACCATGTACCGCAACATCAGCACGGGGATCTGGACGATCAAGATCAGCGAGATCGCAAGGAAGTTCGGCCCCTGCATCGCCAAGCGTCGTCACTGTGACGAGTTCATCGAGCTCAGTGTCAGCCGCGTCAGCCAGTGTTGTGTCGTGGAACGGCTCCTCACCAACAGTGCTGCCGAACGACATGCTCACCTGCGTGACCGGCATTCCTCATCACGATGTTGCTACCGGGCACAACCCGCACAGTGCCTACAACACTTGCAAGACCTGCAAGAAGCATGCGTCGTGGCTGCTCCGGCACTACTGTTGCAGCAACTGCGATTTCACGATCTTCCCGGAGAGCGTGATGAACGACCTCATGGGCCGCTGGTGGAAGCTCACAGGCAGAGACTGCTGGCGAGGACCTGACCTGATGGACAAGCAGACGAAACCAAAGAAGGACAAGTGCACCCCGCTTGGCTTCCGGACGGCAGGTTGGCCGATCGAACCGGCAAGTATTCTGCTGCCCAGATTTACACACCAGGGCTATTCATTCGTTAGTCCGCATTGCTGTTCAGATTACAGACTCGGCTATTCATACGTTAGTCCGCATTGCCGCTCAGATTTCATACCCGGCTAAAGATTTATGTAAGCCCGCATTGCTGCTCAGATTTCACAGCTGGTGTAAAGATCTACGCATAATTCCGCATAGAGAAGCTTCATTCAGTGTGCACAATTTTTCATATATGTGATGACGATCGCACCCATTCAGCATTCAGATCTTATCTCGATAAGATTGCTAGTTTGAGTTTTGTCAGCTAGCGATCAAGCTTTTGCTATTGCTGGCCTTGCTTGGTTATGATTAGCGCCGACAGCGCTGAGAGCTGAGAATATCCTGCAGGTCGCGTGTAGCTCATCCGCTTAAATGCCCAAGGGGCTGCCTGCGATGCAAGCCGTGTCGAGCCGTTTGCTCGCCTTCCGCCAGCACGCCTGGCACTCTGCTTAATGAAGGGCCAGGCTTATATGCCCGGCTGCCCTGGCGCGTCAGCCTCTTGCGCCTGCACACCGTGCAGGAGAAGTGTGATTCCAGAAGGCTCGCAGCTCTCCTCACCTGCTCTTTGCCGCCGCTCATTTGGCTCTAATTATTTTCCAGGGCCCTTGGCCGATTGAGCTACGATCCGCTCTGCGAGCGTTTCCAAAACGATAGATCCGCGACCTTTCCATATCACAGCTTCGCCCCCGCGGGGCCCGGGGCGTCCCCTGGGGGTTGTCCCGTGGTTGTCCTGTGTTTGTCCTGTGTCCCGTAGGTAATCCGTGGCTGTCCTGTGGTTGTCTCATGGTTGTCCCGATGGTTGTCCCCATGGTCGTCCCGATGGTTGCCTTGCTGCTGTCACGCGCTTGTCCCGTGGCTGTCCCCCCGATTGCCCCGTGGAAGGTACAAATCGAAATGCAGGGGGCAATGGGGGCCGGGTGAGCAGGGTGCTTTCCTCCCCCACCGATGCCGCGTGCGCCTCCGCCTCGGAGCCGCAGCTCCGCAGCCCCAGCAGGGCATCCTCCAGCGGCCGCAGGGCCAGGTCGCGCCGCAGGGCGAGCAGCCAGGGGCGCGGCAGCGTGGCGAGTGTGGCAGACAGGCTGCGCCTCCCGCGGGATAGGTGAGCGACTGAAGGGGGGTGGGGGGGGCGAAGTCACGAGCGACGACCATTTCTAGACCCATGCCCTCGGAGTCTGGAAACCGAGGCGCGATCCTGTGGACACAAGGTCCCGTACACGCGCTCCGCGCGGGGCATCCGCGCAAAGCCGCCCCGTATCCATGGGTCGGGGTTGCGGCCGAGGAGGTTGGACCACGGGGCCGTGGGTATGCACGTGTATCCCAGCCACGACGGAAGACTAAGAAATCCGCCAGCTCGCAGTGGCTAGCGATCCTGTTTCTGTCAGGCTCTCGTGCAACAGGTCTCTGGTGGCCCTATGGCGCTGCTGAGGGTGGCCAATGGCACGGAGAGAACGGTCAGATGTTCAGATCTGAGAGCACGACGACGATGGCCGTTGGTCACGATGAACATGGCGATCGAATGTGGCTCAGCGCATATGCAACTCGACGCGTGCGTGCCATCGTTGCACACGGGCGCTGCTAACACTCTCTGTAATTACCGTTGTGGTCTTCATGGATAGCTCCGATGGTGACGTTGAACGTGATGCTTTATTTCTCAAATCGGAGAAGACGGCACGAGTGAGAACAGAGAACAGGCTAACGCGCACGGGAAGGCGCGGCAACATCAATTATTGCCCCGTGCTGCTGGCCCAATTTGGATGCTCGTTCTGGAGACACTCCTGGGGACCCCTCGCTCCACTCATGCGTTGATGCTACGTCGAATGTCCGTCGCCTTGAGTCGGACTTGACTCGGACTTTAGTCGAACTTGAGTCGAGCTAGGATGAACTGGACTCGAACTAGAGTCAAAGTAGAGTCGACCTCGAGTCGAACAGATCCGTTCGCTAGGACCCCGGAGTGCCCTCACAACAACCACCTAGCCCAATATTACACATAGTCTTTTCAGTGATGGAGGAAGAAAGAACAACACAAACTTAAACGTTTGGAGGCCCCCGCGGACATCTCGGACCGGCGCTGGACACCGAGCGCACTGGGGGCAGCGCTGGAGGCGCCGCCTGGGGGGGACTGGCGTCGATCAGAGCAATCCGCGCGGGCCTCCAGAAGGCTAGGTTGTTCCCAACCACCCTGTGGTGTTAGGTCCTCGTTTTGAAGAAACGGTCCCCGCGTCCTCCTCCTCTCCTCCTCTGCTCCTCTCCTCCTCCTCCCGCTCCTCCCTCCTCCCGTCACCCCCCTCACTTTGGCACAACCATCACACGTGTCGTGGCCCCATCGGGAGCTCCACCGAACGTCCCAGTGGCTGCGTTCACATGCCGCCCCCCCCCCATTTTGGCACACCCCTCACACGCTTCGTGGCCCCATAGGGAGCTCCACCGAAGGCCCCAGTGGCTGCGCTCGCACCGAAGGCCCCAGTGGCATGGTTCGCATGCGTTTCCATCGCCCAGTACAACGTTGCGTAGCCCCATCAAGGGGGCCCACCGAAGGCCCCAGTAGCGGTGTCCGCAGAAATTTCCATACCTCCATAGAACGCTTCGTGGCCCCACGAGGGGCCCCACCGAAGGCCCCAATGGCGGTGCCCGTATGCGTCCCCCCCACCCAGCACCGCGTTTCGTAGTCCCATCGGGAGCTCCACCGAAGGCCCCAGTTGCGGTGTATGCGCCTCCCCCACCCAGTACAACGTTTCGTGGCCCCGTAGGGAACCCCACCGAAGACCCCAGTGGCGGTGTCCGCATGCGTTTCCCCCACCCAGCACAGCGCTTCGTGGTCCCATACGGAGCGTAGTGAAGGCACCAGTGGCAGTGTTCGCATGCGTTTCCCCAGCCCAGTATAGCGTTTCGTGGCCCCACAGGGAGCTCCACCGATGGCCAAAGTGGCGGTGTTACATGCGTCTCCCCTACCCAGTACAGCGCTCCGTGGCTCCATAAGGAGCTCCACCGAAGGTCCCAGTGGCGGTGTTTGCATGCGTCTCCCCCACTCCGTACAGCGCTTCGTGGCCCCATGCGGAGCCCCACTGAAGGCCCCAGTGGCGACGTTCGCATGGCGGCCCCGCTCGATTTCGGCATATCCCTCACATGTTTCGTGGCCCCGTGTGGAGCGCCACAGGAGGCCCCAATGGCTGCGCCTGCAAGCGTTCCTGCCCCATTTCGGTTCACCCTTTACACGCTTCGCGGCCCCCAAAAGAGATCCACCCACAGCGATGCCCAAAACGGCGATACGCACAACTGCACATGGTTGGGCCCTTCGCCTGGATATGATGTTGTTGTTCAACTGTTCTTCTTCGAGAAGAGCGCCTCTGCGCGAAGACGCTGTGGAAAGCGCGGTTGGCGGCAGTCACGGTGCGGCAGGTGGGGCCCCGAGGGTGGGCAGCAACGCCTCCAGTGTCGACAGCCAGCCCTTGGCCTGCAGCGCCTCTCGGTCTCGCTCCACGATCTCGGGATGCAGCGCTGCAACCTCCCCGTAGATGAGGCACTGCAGCCGTCCAGGTTCGAAGGGGTCGTCGTCGAAGGCCCAGTCGACATAGTGTGTGGCAACCACGTCGTCCTCCTCGCACCAGCTGTCCTCCAGGTACTCGTGCTGGAGCGCCTCCAGCGCCGTGACGCGACATTTGGGGTCGAATCTGAGCATCTTATCCAGCAGGTCGCACTGCGGCGCGCTTGCCTTTGGGTACAGGGCTGGCCAATCTTTCCTAGCAACGTCGGGAAACCGCGTCTTGATGAACTTCCTTGCGGCCTCGTTCTCGGGTGGAATGAAGGACAACTCCTCCTCTGTTGGCGTGCCCATCACCTCGATGATGGATCGGATCTGGTCCAAGAAATCTGTGCCTCTGAACATCGGCGTCCCGCCAATCAACTCCCCCAGTATGCACCCCGCGCTCCAAATGTCCACGGCGGCGGTGTACTCCATTGAAGTCAATACAACCTCGGGGGCACGGTACCAACGGGTGCCAACATACTCCGTGCGCAGGTAGTCGTCGTCCTCCTGGGAGAAGCCTGCCCTGCCACGAGCAAGCCCGAAGTCGCAAAGCTTCACGTCGCAGTTCTTATTGACCAACACGTTCAGCGGCTTGAGATCCCTGTGGACCACGTTTGCGGAGTGCATGTACCGCAGAGCCCTAAGAATGTTGTAGATGAAAAACTGAATGTGGTCCTCACTCAACGACTGATCCGAACAGATGACCGTGTGTAAATCTGCGTCGGCCAACTCCGTGACCAAATACACCTCTTTATAATCAGGCGACAATGGCGGCAACAGGTCCCGAAACGCTACGATGCTGTCGTGCTCCAGGCACTTTAACAACTTGATCTCCCGCAGGCAGCGCTTGCCGTCAATGGGATTCTTGAAAGGATTCAATATCTTCTTAATCGCAACTTCATCTCCGGCCACAGTGTCTTGAAAAGCAGCCACGGTGCCGTACGTCCCCTTTCCCAGCACGCGTAGGAAACGCATGGAGCTGGGGACCGAGAAGACGGTGCCATCTACTTTGACCTCGCTGCAGCCGACGTCCGGCAAGGCGGCCTCCGCAGCCCCCGCCTCTGAGGCCTGCTGACTGTCGCACCATGGTGGCCGGGCGTCCCGAGCCTGGTCTGCGTCCGCCATGCTACGGCCCAGGCGCACTGGCAGTTCGTCATGGACTTCGCATGGCGACCCTGGGCGACGGGCCCCTGCCAAAGCGAGGGGGGGCGACTGCAGCTTGAGACGGGAATTGGAGATGCCAGTGGCGGCGGTGACGACGCAGATCATTGGCGCCACTCTGGCCTACCTGTACGACCTCCCTGTGGGGCGATCATGAATTTGTTTGAGGCTGCACTTGCTGGCTTTGCAAAGTAACTGCGCTGCGAGCTGGCAAAATATCTATATAGATATATACACATACATACATATATACATATATATACACACTTATATACTCACGGAAACAGGGGAGTGCCTACCAAACTGATGACCAATATATTTGACTAACGCACTGCAGGGCTGCATTTCGAAGTGTCCAAACTGTCCACCGAACAACACGTACACTGAACTGTAATTCAAATACTACGACAAGCTTACGTATCCTGACATATGCGCTTGACTAGCTATGTAGTCATCTAGATCCCTAGCCCTTTCAGCTCACATCGTGATGAACCACGTATATCTTCTCTCACGATCTCACGATCGAGCTAGAAATCGAACTACAATTCTAACCGACTAACGAAATAACAAAATACGCAGGCTGCGAACACACATCTCATATAACAAAGCGCGCAGACTGTGAACACTTATCTCTCTCTGTAACACTGACACCATGACGGCAACACGCACCATACGCGCACGCAATGAACAATTGCGTACACCCATCTGAGTCTATATAATGTACAGCTACGTCGCTCCTGGTTCAGCAAATTGCATCGACATCCCAGTGCTATCAGCTCCATGTATGCGCATCTAGCTGTCGAGGAAAATGCAATGGCGAGCAGGAGAAATGGGAGTATAAACCATGAGCCAACCATGCTCAGACTTGTAGAAACGTTTCTCGCGAACTTGCACGATGCGAACTGAGAAACTCTGGTACGGAAGATGACATTCAATTGGCAAATCTAAACAAAGTGACTGGGAGGGAGAACTGCCATGCAACATCTAATCACGTGACAAATCCGAGGCGACGGAAGGTGCATGTTAAGTTAGAACTCCCCCTGGAACCAGGATGTGCGGTATGGTGATCCGTGTGTACTGCCAGGAATTCGAACTCCACCCTCATAGCTGGAGGTCCGATCCGACACTGCCAAAGATATTGAGTCCAGACACCCACCAGCTGTGTACATGTTGGCAGCTATTGTCACCCGAGCAGCGACAACCGCAATGGTCTTGAGAACGCCCACAAGAACGTCATCATTGCGCACCGTTAGCATGATGACCCCGGGACAGCTCGACAATTCGAGGACAGCCAGAACAATTGAACGACACCAATGCGAATATTTATCTCGCTGCGCCCGCTTCCATGAAGCCTGTGGTCAAACACATCACGCATGCGGGTCAGTTATCTGAACACCGCCAGATGTAATGGCAGGAGCCGACAGGAGGCATTGGGAGACACATTCAGCGTTTGCTCGAGCAGCTGGGAGCGATGGTAGCCGACGACGAATGGATCCTGGAAAGGCAATATGGCAATACGCATTTGAGATGCGTGCTGCGCCAGTGGGCTACCAAGTATTTGTTCATGCCCTGTGCCGCCTCCCAAGATCTACGAAGTCTACTCTTCCCGATCGTGCTGTAGCGTTGTCATAAATACGTAAGGAGTGCTTGTGAAGCACCCTGGATTACAATCAGCGGCCGCCGTTGAGCTCGCGCACCAGAGGGAGGAGGGAGAAGACGAGGAAAACGAGAGGGGGTGGAGGTAGACGGTGTGAGGGCAGAAAAGGAAGAGAAGGAGGGATAAGCATGGCGAGCAGAAACATGATGAGGAGGGAAGGGTACGGATGAGGGGGGAGAGAGCAGGATGATCTGGAACATGATACCCCCCATTACTTATTCTACATGTCAAGAATTCGACATGCACTGACATAAACAATTTGAAAAAACAAATGAATGGTGCATATATGCAGACGCTGCACAGCTTTACACTCCCGGCCTACAAATCTGAAGGGGCATCTAGCTACAACCCCATGCTGAACACGTATATCGCAGTCGGTCCGTGCACACACTGCGGATGGGAGTTTTTGCTCCGAGTGTCGCTGCGGCGGCCCCAGCGACACGCTATGCCTCGCAAACGGATAGAGTGTCGTTCCGCTGCACGTTGTGGGGGCTGGGAAAAATTCGTGACGTGAATGCCTGGGGGCCGCGAAGTGAATAGCATGTGGTGCCAAAGCGTGGTGGGCTAGACCCCGCGGTGTGACAGGCAAAGCCCAAGAACCTGACCGCACACAAGTTAAAACTTCGAGCGTTGGCTTGTTATTGTGGAAAGGATGCCCAACTTACTATTGTGGAGGAGATGCCCGGCAAATTTTACCACTCTGGAAACGGGACCACCCTCCATGCTAAGATATTATCACGCATCTGTTCGGCATTGGAACGAATACTACATATGCTGAACACGGACCGCCCTCCATCCGTGTAGCTCCTGAGAGCTTGTTAAACAAACGAGTGTGGACACAAGGCTACAACCAGAATGTGAAAACAAGCCGCCTTCCATCCGCACAACAACTGGGAGCTTTTCGGACGAGCGTGCGCGGCGCGGGACCAAAAACCTCGATTCCCAAACGACCTGCCCTCCATCTGCGCAACATTCGGGAGTTTCAACTTTCAAAACCACCAATGGAGAGGACATCTCGGGCGAAACGATCGGCCCGCCATGCCGACACGTCTTTGGCAAGAGCCAAACGGGTTCTGAGGGAACCGGGTCCTGGACCTGGACCTGCTCCCCCTGTAGCGAAACAGTGGTGAAGAAATCTCCTGTGAAACAACTGGTCCGCCCCACCGACGCGTTTTGTGGCGCGACGAGGAAAAGCTGTCCAGAAGCAGAAAAGAAAGGAAGAGGAGGAAGAGAAGGAGGAGGAGAAGTGGGAAGAGAACAATGAAGGGAGGATGAGGAGGATGATAAGGATAATGAAGAAGGGAAAAGGAAAAGAGGATTCGGAGGAGGAGGAGAAGGAGGATGAGGAGAGGGAGGAGGAGGGGGAGGATGGCACGTCCCTTGGCGAACCACGTGTTAGAGCCTCGTGAGCACCGCATGGCGGATGGAAAATTGAAGTGCATAGCTGCCGAACGGACGTGGTCAATCAACCCGACACGGAGCTTATTGAAAATCGAATACGCGAGAGCGACAAGATCATGGGCTACATTTGCAGACCAGGTATCTTGATACTCTTCCTCCGCCCCTAAGCCGAGTCGTAGGGAAAAAAGAACGGCCGGGATAACAAGGCAGGGCATAGCGATCTGATGAAGCAGGCGGGGACAAGATAAACGAGGAACGAGGAACGATCGAGGTCTAGCATCCGCCGAAAAGGACCCTAGCCGCAAGGACAAAAACAAAGGAGGCCATGCTTCAAGGCGACCCTGGGAGGCCAGCACCGCCCTCATGAAGCGCACGCGGGCGCGCGCGAGTCGCGCCGCCACCTCGGCCAGAGCAGGCCCGACGCAGAGCGCCGAGCCTGCCCCGTGCAAGGCGGTGGCCGCCGCTCGCGCCCAGCGAGGACCTCGCCCCTGAAACGAGCCTCGATTGAAGACGCCCCCCCCCCCCCCCCGCGCAGGGGGCGAGCAGCTTGCGCAAGATCGGGGCATCGATCCGACAGTGCGCCTCGCAACGGCGACGAACGAGGGAACGGCCAGCCCGCCGCGCGATGTGCCCTTTCAACTGGAGGGAAGAAGGGGGCCCCATCGGGAGGGCGGCCTTGACAGCGTCGCATCGGGCCGCGGGGGGGGGGGCCCCGCGCCGCCGGGCCCGCGCGGCCGAGAGGTAAAGATGGAACGCGGTTGGCCTGCAGCTTGCGCCAGGCTGTTCGCGCTTCTGCCTGCTCAGGGGCGCGCGCGACGAGCAGTGGCACCGCGCGCGTCGAACGCCCCCCGCCACCCCCTCCACAACCTCCAGATCGTGAGAGTGGGAGAGCTGCGACGCAGAATCTCCTCGCACTCTGGATCGGATCGAGACCTCCGGGGCAGAGGCGGCCGCGTGCTGAGCAGCTCTTGACAGGAATTCCCACGCGCGAAATGTCAGCATCGCTGGGCATCATGCGACCGAGTCGATGATATGTTTAGTCTCCTTCACTCGAGAACGCCTCTATGAAACATGCTGGCGAAAGCCGAAACGGCTACGCACGGAAACGGACTATGCAATGTCTGGCACATAGTGAGTGCGCGGCGCGCGCGACTTAGGGGAGTGGGCAAGGAGAGACAGCACTTTTCGTGGGACAGACATGGGTCCACCCCCCTCCTTCTCCTCAGCAACCTCCAGGCTAACATGCGCTGGACTCGACAGATCTGGCTCGAGATCTAGACTTCCTGACTGTCTCTGAATAGCTCTATTGGAGGCTGATTTCGTCCTGGACTTGAGGTGCTCGTTGAGGGCTCTCTCGCTCATGTGAAGATCCTCGTCTATGAGGGCGAAAGTGCCTTTCCTGAGAAGGTCGTTCAATGCCAAACTCCCCATTAGCAACGCCCGCCTTCGTTCAGCAATCTGCTGGCATGAGTCCGTGCGGGACCCATCTGATCTGCGATCCTAAGGATGATGAGCTGTCTCTGATGACCGACAGCTCTATAGAGTTGCGCCAGTCGGCCTTAGTGCCGGCGCTATTGCGGGTTGAAACATCGAAGACCGACTTCGCATCGACGACCGACACCGACGACGCGCCCTCGCTATGGAAGCAGTCACGGGGGAGAACGAGAGAGCACGGGGCCTGGCTGAGGTGCCTGTCGGGCCTGGCCACGTCCGCGAAAAGCAGGTCGCGCCACGTGATTAGGAGCCATTGAGACTCTCCCAAAGCGGATGACAGACCGAGGGTTTCTGCCGCAGCAGTCGACGAAACGGCGCGCTTTATCCTTTGGGACCTCCAAGAAAGAAGGGACACTTTAGCTCTGTGGTTGCTTATGATACGACTGTCTGCCGCAAGCACAAGAAATGCTCCCTGCGCTCCGCCTCGGCGGGCTGATCCAGGCCCTCCTGCGTTGGAAATCGTCGCGAATGTGACTGGGGCTGGATCTAACTGCCAGATCGTCAAGCGCTG